GGACTCCGGACTAGGTGCGTTCCTCTAAGTCTTCCTACCAATATGACCAAGTTGCGAAAACAAGGCCAAAAAACTTTTAAACTCTCAATACCCAACCACGTTATGCGACCTAGAAGGACTCTTAACTTCACTACCTTTGACTCGAGTTTTTTTTAAGAGTTTATGATGATTTTTGGACCGTCATGTAGACTATATCGCTTATGATAACCAATTTATGCTCTCTCATTCTTTTCTCTTTCTTCCCTCTCTTCCCTTTAATCTGCCTGATGATCTCGGTGGTAGGACCTGACATCCAGCCTTCCGTAAATTTTACCACACCCTCTTCACTGCTTACTTCCTGCTACTCCAGATGGCCCCAAACTTGGTTTACATCACCAAATCTTACTTCTACCCCATCAATCGCATCTGCCAGCTTCTGCATTCCTCCATCTAACTGGTTGGCTACATCGACCTCCAGCCCTCTTACCTCTGCTATCAGTACAGCTACTAGCATCAGTAATTCCGGAGCTTCGGCCTGTTGGATGCCTAATCTTGCTGATACAAGCAGTGTCAACGTCAGCACTACTACCTTTACCACCATACCCACTCAAGGCTTTGCACTTCTTCCGCCCATGCCTTCTATTAATGACCAAGCGCCTTCATTATGCGTTGGGGCTAATTCCCTATTCTCTGAAGCTTCTGTTATTCCGAGATCTCCTGTCTCGAATATTGGAATCGGTTATAGTCCGGGGTTTGCAGGGAGAACACTTTCAGATCTAGAATGCCAACATCTCCCGAACTCTTTTGAAGCCATACCGGGGCTCCCATTCGTCTCGAATGCTCAGTCTGCTTCTGGCCCAGGACAAGAAGCCATTTATTCGGTAAGGATGACTAATCTTTGCATGCTAGTAAGCTACTTTTCAAACGCTCAGGAGCCCTCACTTCTTTCTCTGACTCGAACAGAAGGCAGTGAAGGCGAGACTCGTTTTATATTATTGTGAAGATTTTCAATTCTTATGAAAGTGCATTTAGGTATACCTGATTAATGTGAAAGATACGAAGACTAACTGGGTTTCGATTAATCTCTTGAGATAACGTTGTTGGAGTGACCTTCATTTCGTTCGAAGGTGCATGAAGAAGAGATTCGTAGGTTGATCACTCTGATTTAGGACCAGTATTGCGTATGGGCGTTAACACACACGCGCGCACACGCACTCGAGCAAAGGTAGAAGGACTAATATCAAAAATAATTAGCCAAACCATCCTTTATATTTATATATATATATATGTGCCTATTTATTTTCGTTTTTATTTATGAGTATATATAAGAGGTAAGATAGATTCGGAAAGTCTTCCTGACCTGATGTTAGCGTAAGGCTTCTATAGGAATGAGCTCCAGCTCTGATGAATTCCACCATATGATGGACGAAAGGTCAATCCGTTTTCACCGGAAACGAGAAAGGATGTCTCGTCGACTGCGTCTACCTAAACGTCGCATTAAAGCCAAATGATTGCAGTTCATTGGGAATCAGCTGTTTTGTTCTGCTGAGGTCCTCAAAGAGGCAAGGTCAGGTTTAGTGTAATGTCATTGTGAGGAAAAATTCAATTGCCAGTCTTTCATTACCTTATAAGACCTAAACTGACTTCTTTTCTTACTCTAAATCTGCCTATCGTATCAAATTAGCAATTATGCTAACCCATTAGAGCCTAATTTTTACACAACTCTTATGTGCTAATTTTAGGCTCTTCTAGTTGATATTCCTTAATGCTGGTTAGCTGAGTTCTTTAATAATGACTTAAGCTTTAATAATAATATTAGTTATTATCATTATTATTATGACAATGACACTAGGGGTAGAAAATAGTAAATATATTCTGTGCGTTGTTACAGTCTTCTCGCTCTCATTCTCTTCAATACTTTTGATAAAATATATATTGTTGTCTACTTCCAATTTTCAGTAGATAACCTCTTAAATTTACCACAGAAACTAAACTTTGTCCCATTGAATGCGTAGCTGGTGCTAACGTCTATCTAACTTTGCAATTCGGATTTATAAGATGCGTTCAGTTGTCTCTGAGGTTCAGCTCTTTTTGGTAATTCTTTTTGACCGAGCTTTCATATAGCATTCTTTTGAAGATACTTTTACTCTTAGCTTGAATCGGCCTTCATCTACGTTCATTAGAAATAATCACTTACGTGCTACTTATTGAATTTTAGCCCAT